CTTGCCTGAAACTTCTTGGGAAACTGTGGCTTCAGGACGAGTTTATGATGTCTTTGGAGCTACAGATACAAGCACCTTCCGGAACCATCTCCCTCTGATCAAGGCCAGCCAGGCCCAGGAGGAGGAAAGTGGGGGGCAGCTCCTGCCCCCTATGTCAACCCAGTGCTACGGGGAAGCAGCCCTGCAGGTAAACAGAAGGCTGGAGCCTCGCTCCGCCAGAGACCCTACTTGCAGCCAAACCTTCCCATCAGTGTGGGCAAAGAACCCCCAACCTGGGGCTCAGAGGCCAACACCCTCCCTTGTCTCCCCCTCAGGCTACCTTGCTGGGTCTGGCAGCCCTAAGCAAGGCCTTCCCAGAAGTGCTGACTCCAGGAGGCATTGCCTGTGTGACCCCTACATCTCCCTGGCCTCGTCCCCTCCCCTGGCCTTGGCGCATCCTGGACCAGGTTGTTAGTGCTCCTGGGGCCAAGCACCCTGGGGCCCTACTGCTAGAGGCACTGAGGTCCCCAGGGCTGCGGGCACTGGAAGCTGGGACGGCCACCGAACTCCTGGATGTCTTTTCCGGCCTGGAGGCCAATGGTGAAGAGCTGGCTGAGGCAATGGCTGCTGGGAACCCGGGGTCTCCTCTCCCCAGCCGGGCAGCGGAGCTGCGGGAGGCCCTAGACCTGGGGCCCCGAGGACTGGCCCTCCGACTCTGGCCAAAGCTACAGGTGGTGGTGACTTTAGATGCAGGAGGCCAGACTGAGGCAGTGGCTGCCCTGGCGGCCTTGTGGTGCCACGGGCTAGCCTTCTTCTCGCCTGCTTACGCCGCCTCTGGAGGTCAGCAGGAGTCAGGGCTAGTGAGCTGCGGGGCAGGGGGCAGAGGCCTCACAGCTAGCTGTCAAGTAGTGAGCCCTGCATGGTCACCTCATTTAACGCCCCCAACCCCAGCAGCTCCATTTTACAGATGCAGAAACCGGGGCTTGGGGAGGTCAGGAGACTTGCACAGATGGCCCCAGTATCAGCACTTACCCAAGGGTCCTCCGCCCCCAGAGCCACTTCCCCTTCGCAATCAGGGCCTCAGAGGCAGGGCACTGAGCCTGCGGGAGCCAGGAAGGAGGGGTGGAAGGGGAGCAGTGGGCTCAGTTGCTCAGAGAGTCTGGGCTGGGGTCTAGGCCGAGGGGCTATTCCCTAGCAGACGGCCACAGCACCCCCAGCGAGAGGGCTGCTTGCTCCCCACAGGGGTAGTGGGCCTAAACTTGTGGCCGGAGCAAGCCCATGGGCGCTACCTTCTGCCCCCTGGAGCTCCTTTTATCGAGCTGCTCCCAGTCAAGGAAGGAGCCCAGGAAGAGGCAGCCTCCACCGTCCTGCTGGCCGAGGCCCAGAAGGGCGAGGAGTACGAGCTGGTGCTGACCAACCACGCTGGCCTCGCCAGGTGATCACCTGCCTCCCCCAGGTCACCTCAGGCCCTCTGCAACCTTACTGAGGGCCAGGGACAGGAGCTCACCACCACCGCTACCCCGTCAGGTGCCGCCTGGGTGACGTGGTGCAGGTGGTCGGGGCCTACAATCAGTGCCCGGTCGTCAGGTTCGTCCGCAGGTAGGCGACTCCCCAGGGGAGCTGAGGGGCCGTCCTTGTGCCCTAGGCTCCTCTGCCTCCCCCTTCCACCTCCCTAGGCTGGGCCAGGCCCTGAATGTGCGAGGAGAAGACATTCAAGAGGACGTGTTCACTGAGGCCCTGGGCCGGGCCGTAGGGCAGTGGCCGGGGGCCAAACTGTTAGACCACAGCTGTGTGGAGAGCAGCATTCTGGGTAAGCTGCTTCGTCAGCCCCTGCCCCCCATTCTTGAGTTGGCTGCCCCCCCAATACCATACCCATCCTGAAGGAAGAGCTCTAGGAAAGAGGTAAGACCCAGCCTCTTTTGCTGCTCCTAACAAAGGTCCTTCCCTCATGTCTGTCTCCCATCCCTCCTGACCTCTTTCATCGTTACGATTAGGCTTGGGGTTCCTCTCCATTTCCCCCCTTCTCGGCCAAGAAAGTCCTTTTCTCCCATGAGCCTCAGAGTGGGATACAACAGATGGGGGCGCAGGCATTGGTGTTGGAAGCTGCCCCGTTCACTAAAGTGTGTGTGCGTGGGACTTTGTCCTCAGATTCCTCCCAGGGCTCTGCTCCCCACTATGAGGTGTTTGTGGCGCTAAGGGGGCTGAGGAACCTGTCAGAGGAAAATCGAGACAAGGTAAACGACACAGGGATGGGACGGAACTGCGTGTCCCTTTCACTCTCCATGCCCGCAGGTGCCCTGGGCACAGTGCAGGGAGGGGGACGAGGGGACGAGGGAGCTGGGCAGGAGAACCTCCCTGGGGACTCGGGGAGGGGAGGGATGAGGTCCTCGGACACATGCGTACGCATGAAACGCCTGCCACTCAGCTGCGGCCACCATCAGGCACCCCTCAGCCACGGGCCACAGAGCCACGCACCAGCCTCACTCAGGCCCTTCTGTTCCCAGCTTGACCACTGCCTTCAGGAAGTCTCTCCCCGCTACAAGTCCCTGCGGTTCCGGGGCAGCGTGGGCCCTGCCAGAGTTCACTTGGTGGGGCGCGGGGCCTTCAGAGAACTCCGGGCCGCCCTTGCAGCCTGCCCCTCATCCTGCTTTCCTTCCGAGATGCCCCGGGTCCTCAGGCACAGGCATCTGGCCGAGTGTCTGCAGAGGAGGGTGTTGTCCTGAGCCGAGGCCTCCCTGCTGGCCCATCCCCCTTCATAGGCCACCTCGCTCCTTCCTCTGCGGCCTCTCTGGATGGGAACCCTCCGACAGGGTCTTCGACACTGTGTCACCTGACAGTGGCTCATCAGAGCTGCCAGACCTTAGGGATGTGCGACCTAGTCAGCCTGTGCTGAGCTGCTGAGCAGCAGATGCCTGCAGGGGGATGCCCCCTCCAGAGGACACTGCTAGAAGTCCCGCACACGCCACGCTCCCGTGTCTCCAGCCCAGTGCACCATGCAGGCCGCAAGTGTTGGCAGTTCAGACCCCTGGGAGCATCCCTCTGCAAGAAACAGGAGTGGGAGAAAAGAGCCCGGCATCATTGTCCCTCATGCGACAATTCTGAAGTGTATTCTGCTCGGGTTGCCTACCCTGATAACCCTCTCAGTAACACAGCTCTTCCTGGTTTCCTTCCATCCCCACTCCCTTATCTGCTTTCTAAGATCACCTCCCAAATAAACGGCTCACACCCGATTCTTGACTCAGGGTCTGCTTATGGAGAAACTGTAAGAGTCCTCTTGGCTCTGTTTCTGCGGCCGCCTGGCTCCCTGCACCCCCACCCACCTTCTGCTCTGGACACCAGGGTTCTCCTCCCACTCCCCACTGCAGGTCGGGGTAGGCCCTGGTGTGTGTGCACCTCTTTCCACTCCAAGCTGTTCTGAAATGTGGAGGGACTGCTCCCCAACTTCCCTTGCCCTGGCTTAGCACAGGTCCTGTCTGGCCCCACACCAACAAATCACTTCCCTGGCTGGGGGGCTGTACTATAGATCATGAAGGATCCCACCAAGAAGCAATCCCAAAGACCATGGGGCTTAACTGTGCATCATAACCTGCGGGGAAACTGAAGCTTCCTGAGGCTGTGAAGCTGGCCCAAGGGCCTGCAGCACCTCCTAATTAACGTGGCCTCAGTTGCTAAGTCTTCAGCCCTGCCTCTGAATTATTTCTGGATTCCATGCACCCCCATCAGCCCCACGACTCCTTCCTACTAAAACTTCTCATGGCTTCCTAGTGTCCACAGGACTGAGACCAAACAGCCAAGCCTGTAAGACTCTTTGACCCACCCTGGGCCTCACTCACCTGTCCAGCCACCTCCCACCCCTGGGACTGAAGCTGCAGCTCTAACAACCACACCCTACTATCCCGCATGAGCTATCCCTGGCTAAGCACCATCACCTCTTAAGTCTTTGCTCAACTTGTGCCTCCCGTGCAATGCCTTCTCCCCAACCTTCCCTGATGGAAATCCACTTTGCATGCCAGGCCTTTCTGGGGCCTTTTCTCCCACTGAGCTATCACTACGCTGGGTTGCCTCGCCACCTGAACTTTGGAGCTCCAGGAAAACTGGGTCATGTCCAATGCACACTGTCCCTCCAGTGCCCAGTGCAGGGCCTGGCAGGGAGCAGGTCTTCAACAGACATGCCCCTTATCAAAGAGAGACTCTACTTTGGAGCTGGCACGGTCCTTCCCCAGGGTGGCTCACTCCTGGCTGATAGTGAGATGGGACCCATCTCCGACTCCAAGCAGCCTGACCAGGAAGGAAACTGGGCAGGTCAGAGGACAGTACCAGGTTTGGCTGCTGTCCTTCCCCTGCCCAGGTTTAGTTTCCAAGATTTTCCACCTTGGAGGTTGGTGGAAGGGGTAGAGGGAAGAAGAAAGCTGGAGAGAAGGGAGAGGCAGCTAAGAAGTCTTTTCCATGAAGGAAGAGGGCCAAGGAGCCTGATAGACCCCAGGGACAGCAACAAGGAGCAGAAGGGGGAGGCTAGCTGCCTGACTGCCCCCCCCACATACACAAGCCACGTGGATTGCGGGGCTCACAGCTGCCTTTTCTCCTGCCCTAATTAGCAGCTGCCCAGCACCCCCCTCATTGTCCCAGGCCAGTGCCCCAGGCAAGGCCTCTTTTGTGCTCCCAGATTCCTGGGTGCAAGGTGGCCTCATTAGTGCCCGGAGACCGCCCCATCTCCAGGGAGCAGGCGGACAGACAAGGGGGGTGCCAGGGGAACAGTGATCAAACTCCCGCTTCTGAGAGCCTTGGCGGCCATTCTTTGGGTCCAACCTGGAGACGGGCCCCCTGCAGGAAGCTAATCTTAGACATGTCTTTGTCTGGCCCCAGAGTGGACGCAAGTACCCGTCTGTCCCCCACCACCTCAGAGCACTATAAACCCTAGGCCCTTGATCAGGGGTCACAGTCAACGGCCTCAAAGTTCCTGGCTATTCGGACCACTGCTGACACCACCTCTCCTGGCTACCCCACTCTGAGCTCCAGACACCATGAACCCTCCCTCTATGAAGGTAAAGACGGAGGGAGAGAGGGGTGACTCATCATACCAGATGTGCAATGAGAATGCTTATTCAGGGGGCTGGAAAGAAGACTGAGGGCTCTGAGGCAGGGGACTGGGTGGTCTCAGCGGAGAGCCGGGTGCTTGCAGTGGACTGAGAGCTCGTGCCTCCCGGGCTGTTTGCACCTGTCTCATGTCCCCCTCCCGAAGCCTGCACTGTAGAAATGATTTAATACCGGTTCACAAGGGAGGAAGTTGTGCCCCCTTAGGGCACAAGTGCGAAGAGACAGAGTGCAGTTTCCCCGGAAAGGGAGGAGGCAGACGTGGCAACGCCACGTGGAACCTGCCAGTCGTTGACTTGCACATGTTTGTCCAGGGAGGGACGACACAGGACCTCTGTCTCCCCGAATGAACAAAGTTCTGGTGCAGACAGACTTACACATCTTGTTTTCAGGTATAGTGGTAAGCGCTTTAATGGGGGTACGAGGGACTAAGAGTACCCAGAAAAGAGGGATTCACTCTGCTCAGGGGGTCTCAAAGGGCTTCCTGGAAGAGATGCTGTGCGGGGGCTTGAGAGATGATCAGGTAAAGCAGCCAGAGAGGAGCCCCCCTCCGCCCCCGGCAGGCAGCCATGCTCAGCGGCGGAGAAACCAGCGAACACAGTAGGAGCGCAGGCGGGGAGGGGCGCCGAGCCAGCTGGGCGGGGCCTGGGCGTAGGGGCTGGAGGCTGGCGCGGCGGGAAGACCCCCAGCGCCTAGCCTCGCATCTACCTAGGTACCCTGGGCCGCCGTGACGCTGTTGCTGCTGCTGTTGCTGCCGCCCGCGCTGCTGTCGCCCGGGGCGGCCGCGCAGCCCCTGCCCGACTGCTGCCGCCAGAAGACGTGTTCCTGCCGCCTCTACGAGCTGCTGCACGGCGCGGGCAACCATGCGGCGGGTATCCTCACGCTGGGCAAGCGGCGGCCCGGGCCCCCCGGCCTCCAGGGCCGGCTGCAGCGCCTCCTGCAGGCCAGCGGCAATCATGCGGCCGGCATCCTGACCATGGGCCGCCGCGCAGGCGCAGAGCCAGCGCCGCGCCCGTGCCCGGGGCGCCGCTGTTCCGCAGCCGCTGCCGCCCCGTCTGCAGCGCCTGGAGGGCGGTCCGGGGTCTGAGCCCCTGATCGTGCCCTGTCCTGGCCCTGCCCTTTCCTCGTTGCCCGCCGGGTGGCAGCCCCCAAAAAGGGCAATAAAGACGAGTCTCTAAGTGTGGCTAGTCTCTGTTCTGTGTGGTCGCATCCCGTCCTGCAGGGGGCGTGAGAGTCCTTCGAACTATAAAGAGCCCGAGGGCCTAGAAGCCTCGCGCTGGGGCACCTCTGCTTTGGCGTTTTCGAGCTCTAAACACTGCAAGGAATCGTGGAAGGAAGCTCGGTGGCACGGAGAGGACATGTGCATGCTTGGAGGGGAGGATGGGGAACAGACACGGCTCTCGATGCTCTCCTGGTCTCTGTATCTCGGCCTTTACAGACAGGGAAGGGAGGGAGAGCAAGGAAGGTTGCACAGAGGAGCGGAGTCTGGCCTGGGAAGGGATAGGAGCGGAGCTCGCCCCAAAGGCCAAGAATATAAGGTTCAACATGAATCTTCCAGAATGGCTGCTGCATGAGAGTTGATGGTGTGGGGAACGGGGAAGCGCCGGAGGGAGGCTGTCAGGTTCCTGCAGCCTGGGTTGTGAAGGCCCTCGCAAATCATCAGGTTTTACATTTCATTCTGTAGGTACCTGGGAGTCAGGAGAAGTTCTTAATCAGAGATGGAGTAAGATTTTCCTGCAACTTTAGCTGAATGCACCCTCCACCCCCAATTCACAGGTTGAAGTCCTAACTCCCTCCACCGCACTTCATAAGATGACCTTATGTAGAAATAGAGTCATTGTATATGTAAGTAAGATGACGTCATCCTGGAGGAGAGTGGACCTCTAATCTGATATGACTGGTGTTCTTATAAAAAGGGGGATTTGGATGCACAAAAACTCACACAAGGAGAAACAATGTGAACATAAAGACTGAGGTGGGGTGATGCATCTATGAGCCAAGGAACACCAGAGATTGTCAGCAACCCACCAGAAGCTATGAGAGAGGTATAGAACAGATTCTCCTTCACAGACTTCAGAGGAAACCAACCCTACCTTCTCTTGATCTTGGACTTCTACCCTTCAGAACTGAGACAATAAATTTCTGTTGTTTAAGTCGGTTTGTGGTACTTTGTTATAGTAGCCCTAGGAAATAATTATAACAACAAAATAGAGACACAGAAGGATGTAGCACTTTTAAGCAATCTAACAGCCCAGATAATACCCAGCTCAGACTCTGGGGGTGAGGGAGAGGAGCACTGGCCCGAGATGAGTTTCACCTATCTTCCCATTCTCACTGGCTCCAGCTCCTTCGCCCTGAGAAGCAGCCCCTCTAAGCCACCACACTCATCTGCTCCTGTCATTTTCTGCTTTTGTAGTGAAAAAGTCCCATGGCTGGTCTCACGTGGGTCCTTCTTGCTGCTTCACTGGTTCCCTCTGGGAGATAATGGAGATCAAAGACCATCATTACACCTTTGGAGATTTGCAAACTGCTTCTGCCCACCTTGAAACTATCTTTCTTGTCTCCCATCTTGCCTCCAGCCTCTTTCCCCCTCTTTAATGGCAGCAGAGAGAAGGAGGGTTAAATCAAGACTACAGGAAGAGAAATTGCTCTCCAACACACTCACTGTGTACCAAAAACATGTTTGATTATATTAAATTCTTACAACCGCATGAGGTGAAAATTATTAGCTCCATTTTACAGATAAGGAAAGTGAAGCTTGAGGAGGCTAAGTCACACAATCAGTGAGTAGCCGAGCTGGCATTTTTACCCCATGTACTCCAAAGCTCTTTTCATCCATTCAGCTGCACTCAGAGGCAAAACTCGCCAGGGTGCACTATCCAAAATGCGACACGATGGAGGGTTAAGCCACTCTAGAAGTTGAGTTCTCAGCCTTCCTGCCGATCCTCCACCAACGAAACTAGTCTCTTTAACCCTTGCTGTCACATACTGGAGCGCAGGAAACTGGGATGCTGCGAAATATCTCAACTCCAGCAGGCGGCACTGTGATCCAAACACCATTTCCAGCGTGGGCGGCGCGCGGGGAAACCCGTGGGGCGGAGCCACAAAGGAGTCGCCCGGGAACCACTCGTGGGGGCGTGGCCACCCCAGGAGGAGGGCGTGCCTGCCACCCAAGCCCCGCCCTACCTCTTGGGTCTCAGCTCCAGGTGGGCGTGTCCCGAATTCTCTCTGGGAGAGACACGCGTGGGCCGCTCCCCTCTGGGAGGAGGGCAGCGGAGAAGGGTGAGGGTGTCGCTGGCGGCCCCTCCCCGTGCGGGCCACGTGGCGGGCGCGGGCCGAGCCCGGGGGAAAGAACTTGGCCCGTGGGGAGGTGGGGGGACCGAGGCGGCGCCAAGCTGAGCCGAGAGCTGCGGGGTTCAGAGCAGAGAGGCAGCGGCGGCGGCGGCGCCGAGAGGAGGGGAGGAGGCAGGCGGGCGCATGGGGCGCCCCGGCCCCGCCGGCAGCGCGCCCCCTCCCGCCCCGCCGCGCTGAACGCCCCCCAGCGCCGCTCCTCTAACCCCAGCCCCGAGGCCATGCCGGTCATGAAGGGGTTGCTGGCCCCGCAAAACACCTTTTTGGACACCATCGCCACCCGCTTCGACGGCACGCGTGAGTGGGGAGAGGCTGGGGCTGGGTGTTCCAGCTGGGGCCAAGTCAGCTTCGGCACCGGCGCGGGTCTACTGGATGTGTTGAGACCCGAGGCGGCGAGAGTGGAGTTGATGGTCTAGGAACTCCCGAAGCCGCGGGAAAGGAACAGGACTGGGAGTGCACTGCGAAGGGGGGCGGGGAAAGGGCTAAGAGTGCGGGGGGCTAAGGTTGGGGGTGTGACTTGAGTCAGGAAAGGCTCTTTGTGCCGCAAAACGGAGGAGAGGCCTTGTCAGCTGCTCGCTCCCGGGCAGAGCTCTGCTGGGGGAGTGTGTGGGTATCTGAGACGCAGAGGTGGAACGAAGTGGTCAGGCGCTCTGGAGTCTACTTCCAGAAGGCTCCAGCATCTCCTTGCCTCAGAAAAAAAAAAAAAAAAGAAAGAAAGAAAGAAAAGAAAAGAAAGAAAGAAAAAGAAAAAAAGAAAGAGAAAAGATCAGACTTCAGCAGCACCTAGCTTGGATTAAGGTCACGCGCCCCCAAATCTTGGCGCGTCTGAGTCTGAGGGAGGTGAGGCAGGCGGAAGGGGGTGGTCCGTGTGACGGAGGGAACTCTCTGCTCGCCCACCCCCAGTTTGGATTCCAGGTTCAGCACCTTGGACAGCCACACTCCTCGATCCCAGTCTCTTCTCCCGCCTTTCCCTTTCCCTACTTTGGAGCAGAGCAATCTCCCTTTGCCCCCTTCGGGCTCCCTGGTCAGTATCTGGAAAGTGGGGGGAGCGATACCCGCGGGCGGAAATCGAGCCGCCCGGGCCCTAGCCGCCTCCCCCCCAACCCCCCACAGACACCTCCCTTGTTTCCATAGCTCCCATCACCGGGGAAACGGGCCCTGGGATGGAAGAAGGAGGCTGCTGCCCAGGGCCCAGAGCCTCCCAGGCACCTTCAGTCCCCATCAGCCTCTCCACTCCTACGCACTCACCCCCTTAGCATCCAAGCACTGGTTGTGTCTCAGACCCCTTCCCTCAGCTGGGATTCTGCCCCTTGATGGCACACAGAATCCCCCTGTTGCTTCCACCCATTGGAGCCAGAGGAAGCCAGATCAGGTTCTGGTCCTGGGGTTGCTGAACTAAAAACTTCCTTGCTCAATATGCTGTCAGACTTTGAGCACTGGGACAGACCCTCTGAAATTACCTAAAGAGATGCTAAAAAGAGGACCTTTCCTGGAAGGCAGGGAATAAGGACACTACTCATCACTGTCTCCCTCCCCCACCAAAGGAGATTCGTGAGTTTGGATAATCTCCGTCTTCTGGTTTCCGATCAACAAAATGGGTGTGATATCACCAGAATCTGTGCCCTGTCTACTTTCTAATAGGAGGACAGGATAGCGGCTATGCATGTGTTTTGAAAGCTGTGGGAACGTGGGGGAGTCATTTTACCTTCTCAGTGTAGCTCTTAGTATATGCTAGGATTTGTTCTCCCTAGGTAACTTTTCCCCTATGGTAACTAATGTAACTTTCACAACAGCCATATAGGGAAGATGTATTATGTCTCACTTTGCAGATAAGAAAGTTGAGGCACAGAAGAGTTCATTAACCAGTGTCCTAGGTTACAGTCGGAAAGTGGCAGAGGTGTCGTGCTGGAGCCCATGCCCAGCTCCCTTGTAATAGCTCACCAGCTTGAAAGGAGAGGGAAGGACAGTGTGACCTTCAACCCCTCCAGTAGTCCCTGTCCTGGTTCCAAGCCATCCTTAAGCCCTTGTCCTTTTCCTCTACCTCTTTTTACTCTCATTTCAGAATATCCCAAAGGGGATCCAGGAATCACAAGGAAGCCTGGGAAACTTCTGGCTCTGTGACCTCTGACCACAGCTTGGGGGAGGTACTACTCACCTTGAAGCTAAGATCCCCTCCTGGCCTTGACCTAACCTTGACCTCTTCTTCTCACAGACAGCAACTTCCTGCTGGCCAACGCACAGGGCCCACGGGGCTTTCCCATTGTCTACTGCTCTGACGGATTCTGCGAGCTCACAGGCTACTGCCGCACTGAGGTCATGCAGAAAACCTGCAGCTGCCGTTTCCTCTATGGTCCAGAGACTAGTGAACCAGCCCTGCAGAGGCTGCACAAGGCCCTGGAGGGCCATCAAGAGCACCGGGCTGAAATCTGCTTCTACCGAAAGGATGGTAAGGGGTCGTGGCCCGCCCTGCAGGCCTGCGCAGATCCTGGGCCATACACAGAGTCCACTTGGCACAGTGGAAGACTGGATGCTGGCCCCATACTGCCACAAGCTGACTATGTGATCCTGAGTGCATCCCTGGTCCTCTCTAGGCCTTGCTTCTCCCATCGGGAAGGGAAAGAGTCTGACATAATCGCTGGGGTTCTTTCCATCTGTAAACCTTTGCCAAGCCCTTTGATCATGCCCAGGAACCTTGGGTGATAAAGGGGAAGGGGTGCCATGGGCCGCTCACCCTTCCCCTCCATCTCTTCACATCTACAGGCTCGGCCTTTTGGTGCCTCTTGGACATGATGCCAATCAAGAATGAGATGGGAGAAGTCGTGCTTTTCCTCT